GGATCAGCTCTGCCAAAGCATGCCCTAACACAGCTGATGCCACTCCAAAGACAGCATCTGTTTATGCCCTTAGACAGGTCAGCAAAAAGGAAAGAGGTAAAGTTAGCTCTGTAGCAACAGTACCTACAATTTAGGGAAGAAACAATAAAGTAATATTAAAAAAGTTGTATGCTCCAATGACTAATGTCTGAACAGATGTCTTCATAAACAAGAAACTATATTCAACTTCTTCACTAGTCCTTTCATTGTAGAATGTTCAATTAAGTAAATGTGTAGGCTTTTTATTCATTAAATTAAATCAATGTTAGTTCCACTCATCTTCACAAGATTTGACAGCAAAACTACAAGATTCTCTCTAACTCTAGCTGTCAGACCATGTTCTGTGACTGAACAATGAATCATATTCCTAACTTAGTGAAGTGTTACAATTGCTTCCTAGCAGCCTAAGAAAATTTTCCCCTTATGTACATTAACATTTCTGCACAACACCGTGTATTTTGCCTAAGTCCCTGCTACATATCAATATGCAACTCAAGTGGGACTATCCTTGGAATTGTGTATTCAATTCAGATACTGGATCTGCAGGGAAATAGTGAAGAAGCAGACTTTTCCCTTTTAATTACCTGAGCTCTTGAATATTATTTGCAATTCTGAATGAGAATAATTTCATCTCCTCTTCCACACAATATGGATCAGCCTTTTATATTTACATATGCTTATTTCTTATCAGAAATGATATCACATAAAAACAAAAGGTTCAGAGAGGATTTGGGCGGTCAATGTCTCTCTCCTCCCCTCGCACACACAAGCTAACACGCTAGATGAAGAATTTCAAAGCTGTTTCCCTATTTCTGCCAAAAATCAATATGAATATCCAAATGTATCAATTTACTATTTGATTATGCTATGTACTCAACCAGTCCAGCCTGAAATTGAACTAGCTACCAGGATGCTCTGTTTTCAGTGGTTATTCTACACCAAAACCAGTATTTAAAAAAAATTCAATCTTTGGCAAACAAGTTTTCTTCAGATTCTTCAACAGATTCTGGCCCCAGAACTATGGACGGGTCTAATACTGGTAGACATCACTACCTGTTTCCTAAACACAGCAGGAATGAAACAAGAGACTGCATCTTTGACCCTTTTCTGGGCAACATTTGGCCCCAAAGCTCTCTTGGATTTTCTCAGAGCCATATTCCCAGGTGTTTCATCTGATTTTCTACTTCTCTGTTTTTCTCTCGCTTCTCCTTTAGACACACAAATCTTCAAAAAACCACCATCAGAAATACTCCTTTGCACATGTGCCCTCAACAGTTCAAAGCTATTTAGTTCCAGAAACAAACCTGATTTTTTTTCTTTAAGCAAACTATTTAAATGAAGGGCAACACCCACATCCAGCCCCCAGCACAGCTGGGTGCTACTCTCCCCATTGCTCTTGTGCTGCTACCTCCCAGTTCTTAGTCCCTCTCCCTCTTCCAGTCCTCCAGCTTCTGCTTGCTGTCCCTGCGGGCAGAACAGTAGGGTGGGGTGGGGTACAACAGCACAGCCCAAAGGACAAAGGGCGCCCGTGGCCAGGGGGTCTGGAGATTTCATGCAGCACAATGGGGGTTATCTGCCACCTTGCACCATGCAGGAGGGAACCATGTGGCACAACACAGTATGCAACCCTCAGAAGCTGAACAGCCCTGCTGTAGATGAGGACAACTGGTGTGTGCTGATGAGCTTTCAGAAGACTGGCTGAAACCAAGGCCTTGCTAAATGACAGAATTTTGCCAAAAGAAATTCTCACCCATCACATCCTCTCTCCAACATGCTTGAAGATCAGACCGAAGTCTCTGATTTACTCCTATTTTTCAGCTTTCCAGTTTGATTTTTCTTAGATTTACCAAATTGTTCCTACATTTTAAACCTATTGCAGGAGTAGCACAGAACTGGTATCCTGGAAGTAATTCTATTTGTAAGAGTCTGTTACATGCTTTAAAAATGTCAAACATACTATTGAAGCTAAAGAAAATTATAAAAAACTAAAAAGTAAATCCTAATATAAACTTTAGTTATTGAAAGCATCTGCTGATTCTCTTAATCTGTCATTTTTAAAAAAATAAACTCCTTTCTAATCCTACTAGAAACATCTAAAACAATAACAGCTTGAAAAACTCAATTTATTAACTATGAGAAGAGCTAGATTATTTCTCTGCCCTTTCCCTATCTAGAAGGGCAAACAGAAAAGACAAAACATTAAAGCACAGGTGTGTAAATCTGAACTGCTTATTGAATGCCTGTAGGGCACTCTGCCTTCAAGAGACCTGTGAAGGAGTCCTGTTTTTCTTGGCTTTAGGATTTTGTTCTGGATTTTATTCCTGAATCATACAATGCTCTGAAGACTGTTTGACCTTTAAAGGTCATTGGCCTTCATTTACTGATTAAAACTCCAGACTAGTCTGGAAAACTGGGTTTTGAGAAAGTATATCCATACACAGCTGTCAGAAAGTTAACTGTTAATAAGTCCAAAAAGTTTGATAAATCCCCTCCCTGACAGTATAGAAAAGCTACTGGAAATTTGTAGTAATTGTGGGAAGGTTTAGGGATGTTTCAATAATGTTCTATCCAGTTAGAAATTACAAAATATATATCCTTTCAAATGTTTTCAAGTTACTTAGCATCCTGAGAATGCAATATTTGTTCACATTACACTCACTACACTTTCATCACAGAAGATTGGGGATATAACAGACAAATTCAAGGAGCCATTTAAGGCTTTGTTAACAGATGGAAAGAGATAGCTTATCTACTGCTTACCATTTTAAACATGGTACCTAGGTGACATCTTCAGTATCCATAGCTGAACACTCATAGAAGTCATTTTTTAGCTTCACAGACTCATGCTATGTTGCTTACTAGACTCCTTAGGCATTTTGAGAACACTAGGTGCCTTCATATCTTATTTGCCTAGAATTGTGGGTTATCCAAACAGCATTCTTTGACTTCCAGTCAAAGCAAACCAAAGTCCTGTTAGGAAGATGGGTGACCAGATGAAAAAGGTTCCTGTTCTTGTGAGGAAACAAGGTGCTACTGAACTCAATTTCTTGCAATACTAAGAAGAAAAAAACAGTTCACCTATATACAGGACATGCTCCTACCTCACTCCCTACAAAGCATAAAAACCAAGAATATACCACTACTCAAACCCTTCTTGGCATTTGTTACATGTGATCAACAGGAATTTCAGGTTGAGCTGCCTACTGTAACTTGCCTATTCTTAGGTTTTCCTGCAGGAACTTTTGTACAAGTCCCTTGTTACCTCTAATTCAGAGACTCCAACTCATCTTATACCTTAGTTACAGATAAGAGATTTACCTAACAGCTTGAGTCAGCTGTAACCAAGTGGGTTTTATGTAGTTTTCTGATCTCCAAGATCAGACATCTCAGCAAAGAAACAGGCTTGGTGTGTCAGCCATATAGCTCCACAGTTTCAGCACTCTTGTGCCCCAGCCAGCCCTGACACCACCAGACGCCACCACCCGGAGGCCAGAGCTGAACCCCAAAACCTACTGCCAACCCAGGGGTTGTTCCACCCCAGCTCAAAGTGTTGCTGCCCTGGGTGTACGTGTAGATGCTGTGCCCGGGAGCAATGTACTCCACTACAAATTGCTCCACAGTTTATCGTGTTGCATTAATTGCATGTGTAGATGTACCCATTGAGTTTCAAGGGTGGTTTTGTATTTCTTGCTTTCCTACTTAACTATTGTAGTTTTTGTACAAAAGACAACATAAAAAACCCTGAAGTAGTCAAGGGGGCTACTCTCACACGTAAGGTCAAAGATCCACAGAAGTATTTGCAGGACCCAGGGGCTAAAGACTTAAAAGATTTGTGAAGGATCTGAATCAAACATATCACACCTTAAGGTAAAATGAAAGGACCTCAAGAGACTGTTTGTTAAGGTGTTATTTCTATTCGAGTAAATTCTGCCAATGACAGTTTACCAAGACGGCTTAGCCAGGACACAGACTCGAGATAATGTCAGACAACTGAGGGACTCATCCTTCAACCTTCTCCAGTTTCTCTCTCTACTCTGCTTGGTTTCCTTCATCCCATTTACACCCTTCTTTACTAACGTTTTATTTAGCCTATTAACATTCACCTATTACTGATTTATTTAACCCTACTGGCCAGGAGCTGGCAACCTTTAATAATAGAAGGCCATCACTTGTGACGCAGCTGCTGCACCAGGCATCCAATCCCCTCTACATCACCCCAGCCCTTCCCTGCTCTTTGCTGAAGGCTGCTCTGATGCCGCCCTACTGCAGCCTCTGCTTACCACTGCTACCAGTTGCCACTGAATTCCATCACCAATGGCAAATTGGTAGCCCCAAATCCAATGGCATAGGTTAGCACAAGCTGCAGGAGGGGACTGCAGTATAGAACAGCCCTTGGCATAGAACAGAGAGGACTGATATGGCTACTGCTGGATGCTGTACAGGGGATCAGCAGCATATAGGTGACAAATGCATAGCAAGGTGGGGGGAGAAAGTGCCCCCTCTGGAACAGGCTTGATGTGATCTCTCATAGGCCATATCTGGCCCACAGACTGCCAAACCCTGATATCTGCAATATGTTTGAGCAAAAATCTACATCTCAATTCTGTTTTAAAAAGATATTAATGACTTATAATGCCTTCCTTATTTCTTGTTTAGACATACATTTTTTCATGATTATATTAAAATCAAAAAAATAAAAGGGATATAATTTAGAATCCAATTTAAAATTTGTCTCACTTCCCAAGTGAAGACAGCAGAATGGAAGCTTAAAATTGTACAGAATGAAAATGTAAATGATCAACTTATCAATGTTTAATACTGCCAAGATTACTGAAGGAAAAAAGAACACATTAAATTACTACAGAGGACAATCTTAGGATTTCCAATTATTTTTTCTCCTTACTGAGAAAGAGAGAGAAAGAGAGAGAGAGAGAGAGAAGAACAATACACAGCCACTCTACCTGCTCCAACTTCTTTTTCTTCTTCTTCAATGTTGTTCTTGATACTGTCGTATTCTTCATCAATTGCCTGGTTACCACGCATCTGAGAGAGAATTCTTCGTGCTTTCTGGGTCTGGCCTTTCTGAATGAGCCAGCGGGGGCTTTCAGGAAGAAACAAGAAGCCAAGAAATTGTATAATCGCAGGAACTGCTGAGAGGCCCAGCATGTACCTGCAAACAAACAAAAATCTCTTTTATCCAAATTTATAAAATTCTCTTTTATTAACAATATAAACTACAAGCACTCAGGTTCCCATTAGACAACTTCTTAAAACATATCACGCTGCTTAAGTAGTCAAATAGGTGAGTGTATGCTTTACATTAACAGCTCTGTGATATTTCTGTCAGCATCTAAAGATATTCATCCTGCTGAAGTCTAACCGTAGCATAAAGAAGTTGTAGTATTCATTAGGAATACCCAGCTTTGAATTTCAGCTCTACGATTATAGCATGGTTTTACATATACCTGCCCTTATGGTACATGTCACTTCTCAGCAGTCTAGTTACCATCAACAGAAGACCCAAAAGAAATAAATTACCATTTCTACAGAATAATCAAGCTCTAAAACATACCAGGCTCCTTAAAAAAAATTGCTTGACAAAGAATAGGTCTCAAACGCACACTACAGCAGTATTCCCAAACCTAAATGCTTAGCTGGGCAACCCAGAGGATCCTCTAAGATTAGGAGCATACCCAAGAATTTGTATTTACTAGAGTAAATCAGGTCTAAAATTTACTAAAATCAATGGAACCACACTGATGTGATATCAGAGCAGGGGCAGGCAATTATTTCGGATGGAGGACTGCTTGACATGTTTTGGTGAGCTGCCGAGGACCGCAAGGGTACCCCCACCCCTTGACAGGTGCCCTGCCCCCTGGTCACCATCTTGGGACCAAATGTCTGTCCCCCTATCCGCTGACCTTTGCCACCAGAAACCCCTCCCCTTGCCCCCAGAAGTACTCCTTTTGGGAAGGGGGTTTGCCATCTTGGAACTGGAAAAAAACAAATTATATACCAAAAAATCAAACAAACAATGACAATAATAGATTTTAATTTTGATTTTAAAAATATTTTTGTTCTGATTTGTGTATATATAGAGGTGATTACATAATAGCTCAAAATGAAGTCTTACTCTTGTATATTGTGGGGGGTGTGGGTCAGTATGAGGTTTGTGGGGGGTTGTGTGG